TTATCTATTCATACTTGAGGTATCCTACGAACAGGCAAGGATTCATGTTCCATAGTAAAAAAAAAAAATTCTCCAACCTCTTTCATATTTTTAATATGCATTATTATAGTCAGAAGATCTGTATTGCACCTCATTGAAAGTTATAGAATTTAATATCTGTCCATTCTTGAGAACTCATCTATTGGATATAGCAAATTTGTGTTTTTTGCTATCATGACTACACATGAAATGTCATTTAAAATTTACTTATAACCTGAGGATTTAAAAACTCTTAATTGTACTGCAAAGCTACACTAGAAAATAAGTTTTCTTGTCCAAAAACTACATAGATTAATGGCAGGATGTGCACTGTAATGTATTTTGATGGACATTTTTCCAGTTTTGTATGTTTTTAAAACATAGTTATCTCATTTATTACCATGTCCTTATGTTTGCCCTGAACATTATATTACAATAGTCCCCTAATCTACTATTTTGTTGTCTCTAGTTTTAGTTACCTGTGGTTAACTGTGTTCCAAAAATAGTCATTGGAAAATTCCTGAAGTAAATGATTCATTAGCTTTAAATTACATTCTCCTTTGAGTAGCATAATGAATCATTGTGCCTTCCTACTCCATTCACCCTGGAAGATGAATCATTCTTAGCTTAGGGGATATATGCCATATAGGATACCAGCCCTTTAGTTACTTATTAGTCTTCTCAGTTATCTCAGTGACCACTGCAGTATCTCACGGCTTGTAGGGTTCAGCACCATTAAAGATTTCCAGCAACCACAAGAGACTTTGAAACATATCCCCCACAAATAAGAAGAGACTTGCATTTTATAAAGACTTACATGATTCTCATAAATAATATTTTAATGTAAAATGTTTATAAATTTCATTATTTAAAAATTTTTAACAATGTCTTTGACATTTTATTTTTCATATAGTATATTTTTTACAGTTACTTTCTAGAAATAAAATTTCTGGATCAAATGATATTATCATTTTAAAGCTTAAAATACATGTTTAAAATTATGTTCCTCAAATTTTACACTATCACCAGCAATATTATGGAAATATTTGTTTGACATCATTTGATTGCTTTAGTTAATATAATTTTCAATGATCATTTACTAGTTTAATGGTTGTTTAATGCAGATATTTTAAAATTAATATGATCTAAATGTCTAATGAAGTTAATAAACATTATTAACAAGAATAATTGTTTTTCTATTTTCTGTGTTTTTTGTCTGTTGCACTGTTTTCCTTTTTATTTTTTGGTTATTTAAGGGTTTCTTTCTACCTTAGAATATTTCCTGCTACTCGACAATAAAAAATATATTTTTCCTTAATATATGTTAATTGTACATAAATGAGTTAATAATTCATTACTCCTGAACCTAGAACCTATATCTTTTCAAAAATTACTAAATAATTACTGATATAGTCACTTGTAATTTTCCTATAGTTGGAATGTTTATTTCACTTTTTAAAACACAAAGACTTTGACTTAGAGGAAGCTGAGATAAAAAAATTTAACTGTTTTACTGTTTTTCTCAGAAAGTTAATTGTCCAGATAATGTTATTTTTAAGGGTGCTGTATCATAATGGATTTAAAGAGAACATTTAACACAATTTTTAATGATTGGATATTGTTTCTCAATAAATTATATAGTCTAATATAGTAATGATCAAAGTGTACATATAGATTTAACAGAAATTAATGTCCCTATGATAGTGCCATTTTTCTTTAAATAACACAATACTCAATATATAGAAGACACTGCATAAATGTTAGGTAAATAAATAGTTAAAAATTGAGTGAGCCAGGCATGGTAGTCCATGCCTGTAATCCCAGTGGCTCAGGCATGAGGATCACAAGTTCAAAGCTAGCCTCAGCAATTTATCGAGGCCCTAAGTAACTTAGTGAGACTCTGTCTCACAACAAACTGAGGATGTGGCTCACTGATAAGCACCCGAGTTCAATTCATGATATCAAAAAAAAAAAAAAAAAAGGAGTTAGTGAAATTTTGTATAAATTAATTATGCTTTAATATAATCATGTATCATTTGATATTTTCACTATTCTTATTAAGGCATTTATGACTTTGCTGTTTTTATTATTTTTTAAAAATTAAACATTTTAATTAGTCTTTCCTTTGAATGGATTCTGGAAATAGTTTGTTTCTAGAATAATTTTTCAGTTATTTTTAATTCTCTAAAGTATATATAACATAATGTTTGTTATTTCAAGAGTTTTTGTGTGCACAGTTTATTGTCCTTAATTGATTGACATTGTTGTCAAACCATCATCACAATCCATTCCAAAAGTCTTCATCACCCCTAACAGAAACTCTGAAATCACAAAGCAGTTACTGCTCTTTGTCCTATATTTGTCATATATTAGGTTTCTAAAAATTATGTCTGCTGTGCACAAGAGGCTAACATGAAGTCTAAAGACACATTTGTTTGCAAAAGAAATGATGTGAGGAGCATCCATGCAAATACTACCCAAAGGGGAGTTGGCTATTTAATAGAAAAGGAGAAGAACTTTAAGTCATTGCTACAAGAGACAAAAGGACTTTATATTATAAAAGGGAACATTTTACAATAAGCTACAACAATAATAAACATAAAATCCATGCACTCAATATCAGATCCCCAAAATATATGATCAAAGTGACAGAATCGAAGGAAGAAACAATTCTATAATAATAGTTCCATACTTGGATACCTCTACATAAATACTTGGATAACCAAACAGACCAATCAAAGTCTCAGTAAGTTATTTTGTGGATGTCAACAAACTGACTCTAATGTTTATATGAAATGGCAGAAGATCCAGATGGGATTAAAGAACTTAAGAAAAGTTGGCAAACTGCCATAACTTGATTTCAAGACTTACTATAAATCTACATATATGTTTGAAAGAGAAATGATGAGAAAATATATTCCAAGCAAATAATAGCTAGAGTTATCTATACAGTGTGATAATAGTGAAAAAAATAGATCAGTAGAACAGATTAGGGAGCACAGAAATAGACCCTCATAAATATAACCAGATGATTTTTGAAATAGGACCAAAGGCAATGCCGTTGAATGTATAGTCTTTTCCATAAATGGTCCTGAAATAACTGACCACCCACATGCAGAAAAATGAAGCTTTTGCATTAATTATGGGAATTAATATTTAAGAGCAAATGTGGACCGAGGTTCTGTCTTATCATAAGCTCATCTGATTTATTATTTATTCAATACAAATGAGTGAACTAATGACCTTGGTTATATACTATGCATCACACAAATTCTGTATTTTACATCATTTCTTTATGAAATGGCAAAATATCATTTTACCTTGATTGTCACTGTCATTCTCATGTTTTAATCCAATTCCAGTATTACTCCTTTGATGAATAATGTCAAAAATATAAAATTACTTGAGATAAAAATAAGTACTCAGAAAGTTTCATTGATTCCCTGTAACAAGATGAAAAGAAGAAAAGCAATCACCTCTATTGAATTGCATGTGAAAATGTACAGTCCGAATGTTAGTCATTGTTACTTTCTTTCATTTAAAGTCTCATGTTTCCAAAAGAAGACCAGGATTAGAAAACTGGAATAGCTCAACTGAAAATATTACCATGAATTAATTTCACATCTATGAACATTTACTGTGCAATTGTTGGTTGGAGATAAATGTTTGCTCATCCATTTTCATTTGCCCTTAAATATATCCAATGCAACCTCAACTAATCTTATTTTCTCCATGCCAGTGTGAGATTATTGTAGTCAACAGACAGTATATTGGGGATCATTTTTTAAATTTTACTGGAGAGAAAAATAGTATTCTTTCATTGGAAAATCTGCTTGAAAAGGTTAAAAGCCTTTGAGAAAGATGGATTTAAATGGCCAATGTAATGCTAAAATTTATTTTCATAATATGCTTAATTTACAATATTAATGTGTTCATGTGTGCAAATATGCATATTTATGTACTTTTTAAATATCTTGTTTCTCTACAATTTTATCAGAGACAATAACAAAACTGTCCCAAGAAAACATCCAAACATCCAACTACCATAAATGTGTTTCCTTGAATTATTTAGAAAACACAAGAAATTATTTTTAACAAGAGCATATGTTGTTGAATGTATTTATTTGTAATATATACTAATGAGACAAAGGTGGTAAGATAATTTAAAACTACCTGGTGTGTGATATGTTTTAACACAACTGTGTACTTTTCCAAGTTAATGATTTATGCCATTTGTATTTAACATTGGGCATGCATATTTTAAATTGTAGTACATGCCAAAGAACAAAATGCTTCATTTACTTTTAGACAATAAGATTTATAATATAGAAGATATCAGAAATAACAAAAATATACAGTTTTCACTTATTTCCAATTTAACCTTCATGTATCTCCATTTTGCTACTTGTAAAGGCTACAGATTTTTGTTGTTTTTAGCTACAAAGAACTGTATTTGTGGATTACTGTATTTCAGAAAGAAGTTATATTTTTAAAGACATTATAGACTCAATCAGGGGCTCTATAAAATTCTTATTCTTATTTAATCTTGTGAGTTCACCATGTAAGTTTTTATAATAATTATTTATTAAAGCTGATATGTCATTTTGAAGAAGCTATAAGGTCATTACTTTGGGCTTCAAGTGAAATCTCCAGAATCATCAAATCATAAACACTTCATGACTTACATTGTTGCGAAACAAAGTCAAAATTGTTTCCTGATTAAATATGACATGATACTGAAAATAATTAATTTATATATTTTTGCAATAATTATTTCATGGTTACAGAAGTTATTTCCTGAAAATTAAAGAATATATTGAATTAAATTATAACCTTTAATAAATATATTTTAATTTACATTTCATTATCAGGACATATTAGTAACTTTATGTGTTTTCTACTATTTAAAAGGTAATTATTTCTTGGCTGAATGCAGACATCAATTATACTGACTTGCATGTGTTTCTCTTTTTTCCTTTTAGGCTGTACTTTGGAGGTATAAATTTTCTCAGCTTAAAGGTTCTTCAGATGATGGAAAGAGCAAAATCAAATTTTTGTTTCAGAATCCAGATACTAAACAGATTGAAGCAAAGGTAAACACGATAAATTTATCACATACACACGTCTAATTACACTAATGTTATTAAGAAGCAAAAGGAGAAAATTTAGAAGAATCAAAGTAGCAAAAACATATTCTCCACTTACCTTGAAACATCCCTCATGGCCAATAGAATAAAATCACTTCAAGATTTTAATGACAAACATCCACTGAAAGGCATCACTTAAAATAAATTATACACAGTTAATTGCGTTTCTTACTTTTAATTCCTCATGCACTGCATTTGTATCACACTAAAATAACATTTTGAAAAGTAAATATGTCACTTGGTGGTTTCACATTCTAATTAAGTAATTTAAAATACTTAAAAAAGTGAATTCTAATTTATCATTATTTATTCTCTCCCAAAATAAGAATACAAAGTCCTACAGAAACTGATTTAGTAAATAAATGCATTTCCCCAGTGATCTATATGTTAAGCAAGATGAGTTAAATGAATGACTTTCGACTTTGCCCCTTGCGCATTTTTAGTACTCTGGAATATATTAACTATGCTGCTTTTAACCCTTTAGAAAGATGCATTACTTTTATTTTTATGAGTATGTGTATTTGCAAATATTCAAAATCTATATTATTTACATCACCCTACTATGAGATTCATAATGACAATATTTTTGGTTAGCATAAAACATAAAAATACTTCCTTTGTGTAAGAATGTATAAAATTACAAACACCAAAGTGAAAAATTAATCCTGTGGTTGTTATAACCCAATATAACTTTCAACAATGAATTACAATTATTATTATAATTCTTTTACCTTCCTTTACCCACTAAATCCAGGGAGAAAGTCTTAGCCTGAGATTCAAAGTCTTCCGAGGTATGGCCTATGTGATAGTCTAGACAAAGGCTTTTTTCAAGGTGACCCCTTCTTTGCCTTATATATCTTCTAATGCTTTTCTCTTAACTTTTCTCTTCAGCTCTGATTTGAGCCCCTCTGGGAATATCCATTCTTGTTTTATATCATTCTTTGTCTTTAGTATTTCTTTCTGGAGTGTATATTGAAGGAGAGAATGGTGGATGCACTTCCCTTATGCTGGATCCTTCATATTGTATTTCTCTAAAGCACTAATATTTCCATGACCTTGCCTTATATTTATACCTCATCAATTTAGACAAATGCCTTGATGACTGTATCCACTTCCTTTAACTTGTCTCATAACTTTCAAATCTACATTCCCAACATGGCCGCCTCCCTAAACATAGGCACATCTTCTCTCTGTCTTGTCACTACTCCGCCCTTCTTCCCATCAGCTGCCAGGGATGGATCATTCACTTTGTGCCAGTCAATTATACCACTCTTTAAGTCAGTTCTTAGAGCTGCTATCAAAAAATATATTGCAGTTGTGAACTATTTACTTTATATATTTACTTTTTGAATATATTTACTTTAACTATTTACTTTTTATATTTACTTTAGCTCTTGGTAGATTTTTCAATATTTCAAAGTATGGCACATATGCTAATACTGATGAATTCATGTTAATATCATTTCTGTATTCTTCAAGCTAACGGGAAACCTCAACCATGAGTTACTGACAGCAGTATAGTATTTATTTGATTTTTGTTTATTAGATTTCTAACCCTTTTTAAATTTTTTAAATAGTTTTTTTTTTTTTTAGTTATAGGTGGACACAGTACTTCTATTTTATTTATTTATATGTGACACTGAGGATCAAATCCAGTGCCTCACACATGTGAGGTGAGCACTCTACCGCTGATCCACAACCCCTTTCTAACACTTTGAGTGACCTCAGAAACCCTCAGCACATGAAGCAAAAATTACAAATTTAATCAAATGTCCACTATTTAGTTTTTGCTTTAATATGATGTTTATTACATAATGCAGCTATGCAGCTGATTATATTTAATTTATTAGTTACTTACCTGAGAGTCACTAAATATTATTCTCATTATTCTTGTGTTTTTAAGCTTTGTTTTATAATTTCATTCATCATGTACAAATTTGAAAAATAAGATATTTGGTTACATATGATTTTCAAATTTATAGGTAGCAATTGTGGAATGAAAAAAACAGTTTTAAAAATAATGAGAGACTACAATATTTGGTGAGTTAATGAAGGTACTTTTTGGGGAATGGGTACCGCAGATTGAACTCAGGGGCACTTAGCCATTGAGCCATGTCCCCAGCCCTATTTTATATTTTTATTTAGGGACAGGGTCTCACTGAGTTACTTAGCACTCACTTTTGCTGAAGCTGGCTTTGAACACATGATCCTCTTGTCTCATAATGAAGGTCTTTAAAGTCAGCATCTCTCTGTATAAAATAAGGAAAATAATACCCCCCAGGGTAACATTAAAAAATACCAAATTAAAAATTGAGGCCATATAGCAAGTGAAGTCACTGATCAATCAGAAGGGTGGCAAGCAATACAGACTTTTTGAGCCACTTTGTAACTACCTCCAGACTATCACCTCTGCTGATATCAGATAAATTGTATAAGAATTAAAATTAGAGCATTTGCCAACGTTTTTATATTCTATGCAACCGCAACTTGTAAGTAGTAAACTAATGTCCAAACAGAACCAAAAATAAGATTGTTGATGTTTATGTGTGGGCATAAGTTTTCACTGTACAGTATAAATGTACAGAATTACAAATTGCTGGATAATAGTTGTTTAATTTTAAAGAAAATAGCTAATTTATACTCCAGAATGGCTATGCCATTTTATATGCCCACCAGCAATGTATGAGACTTCAGTTTCTCTGCATTCTTGCCAGTAAGTTACATTGTCACTACCTTTTATTTCAGATGTTCTAATCATAGTTTTAAGGAATGCCTAGTAATTATAAACAATTTTACATGAGTGTTTTCTAGTCCATTTTTAAAATTAGATTGTTTTCTTTCTTTTTTTTGCCTATTTTCTAATTGTATCATTTGATTTTTTTGTGCTATTTTTCTGTTAATGATGCTAGAGACATTTTAAATTACTATCGTTATTTTCTATGTTGTTTTCTGTAATCAATTTAATGAATTCTGCTTTCTCACTTGTTTTTTATTTTTGCTACTATTGTCACTTTGGCTTTATATTCCTCTTGTTTTGAAATAGAATTTGAATGAATTAGACTTTTTTTTCATTTAAAAATAAATTTTTAAAAATTAGTTTTTGAATGAAAATTTACCTAAAAAAAGGGCTGTTTTAGGTACCCAGAAAAATTAAGTAGAAATATAGCAATTTCCCTTTTGTTCCTCTCCCCAAACAGGCAGCATGTCTCCACTATCTACAGCCTACAATGGTGTGGCATGCTTGTTACAACCATTGAAGCTTCATTGACACATCATTATCTCCCAGAATCCATTGTTAATATTAGGATTAAATTATAGTATGTGCAACACCAAGAGTTGCCCCTAATGTGGAACATACAAAGTTGATTCACTGGTCTGAAGATCCTCTGTGCCCCGTCAGATCATCCCTACCTTCCAGTAACCATACAATCACTGATCTTTCACAGTCTCCCTAGTTTAACTTTTTAAAACTTTAATAAGTTGAAACATACAGTAGATATTCTTTCCAAGTTGACTGTTTTTACTTGGTAAAATGACTTTCTATGACATTTATTTTCAGTACTGAATAATACAGTATTCTATTTCCTGGATGTATCACAGTTAATTTATCCATTCACTTAGTGAAGGACATTTTGGTTACTTCTGAGTTTTGGCAATCAATTATGAATAAAGCGGCTTTAAGTATTCATTTTTTTGTGTGTACAGAAAATTTCAATTCTTTTGGATAAATAAGTACCAATTATTGCTAGATCTTAGGGTAAGGCTGTTTCGTTTTTAAGAAATTGACAACTTGTCTCCCAAAGTGAAAAATTTTCATTCACAGCCGCAATAAATGAGTGTTCCTGTTGCTCCACAAACTAGTCAGCATTTGGTTTTGTCAGTGTTTTAAATTTTGAGCATCTAACAGATGCTTCATGGTATTTCATTGGTTTGATTTTCATTTCACTGAGGACAAATAATGTAAAGCATGTTTTAATGAACTTACTTTTCACCCATACATACTGTTCTGTATAGCTGATGTTCTGTTACTGTTTTAGACACTATATTTCCCAAGTGCTACCCAGGGTCTGGTACATGCTAGACAAGTACTCTGCCTCTGAGCCACATCCCCAACCCCAAAACACTATAAATTGGGGTGTCTGTTTTCATATTGTTGAGTTTTAAGAGTTCTTTGTGTATTTTGATTATTTTTTCATCTGAAGAAGTCTCTTTTCTGACTTCTGTAAATATTTTATCCTTATCTGTGACTTTGCATTCTCTTTCTTCATAGAGAAGAAAGGTGGTTTGTCATTTCTTTAATTGATTGTGCCTTTTGTGCATATATAAAAACTCATTTACCAAACCTAATCTGTATTTTCCCATTTGCTAACTTCCAGCAATTTTACAGTACCGCATTTTACATTTGGGGCTGTGATTTATTTTGAATTAATTTTTGTAATGTGAGATCTATGTCTGGATTTATTTCTTTCCTTTGCCTTGATAGTAGATGCACAGTTATTCTGGTATTGTTTGTTGAAAACTCTATATTTTCTCCATTCTCTTGCTTTTTGGCTCCTTAATCATAGATCTGTTGACAATATTGTGTGATCCCATTTCTGGACTGTCTCTTCTGTGCAATTTATCTCTTTATCTGTGCTCTTCCCAATATTACACTCTCTTATCACTACAGCTTTAGAGTATTTGTTAAAGTTAAGAACTGTGAATACTCTAAATTTGTTCTTGTCTTTTGATATTATGTTGGGTATTCAGGGTCTCTTGCCTCTTCATATACGCTTGATTTTCTTTTTCTTTTTTCTTTTTTTTTTTGGGGGGGGGGGGGAGGGAGAGAGAGAATTTTAATATTTATTTTTTAGTTCTCGGTGGACACAACATCTTTGTTTTGCATGTGGTGCTGAGGATCGAACCCGGGCCGCACGCATGCCAGGCAAGCGCGCTACCGCTTGAGC